TTGTGCAGCTTCTGTTTTCTCAACCAATTCTGAGACCTAATAATGATCTAGGACAGTGGTTCCCAATTCTGGCTGTGTGGTGGAATTTCCTGGAAAGATTTGTTAAAAATACAAATTCACAGGCAGTACTTCCCAGGGATTCTGATTGAGTACGTCTTAGATGGGCCTGAGAATTCAGTTTTCTTTTAAGAATTTTCAGGAGATATGATGCCCTGCCAATTTGGGGAGTGATAGATCTTTGGGATTGGATGACGTTTTAAAGGCAGGAATGACAGGTGAAATGAATAGGGTGGGTTGCCATGAAATATTTCTGCAAGTGTATTTTTCTTGATTTACCAAGTGAATAGAGTGATTTTTGTCCATAATAAAGAACCACTGCCTCCCCTCCGCCCCCACACCATCTTTCACATCTGCATGAAATCAAGTGATCTCCGGGTATTTATTCTATAACATGAGTCCATCTGGATTTGACTTATGTGTATGTTGTTGGGGTTGGATCCAATTTCACTTTTTCTCACGGATAACCAGTAGTTCTAGCACCATTCATTTAATCAGTCGTTCTTCTCCAGTGATTTGTAGTGACAGCTCTGTCATAAACCAAGTGTCCATGTGTTTATGGGGCAATTTTAGGACCCTCTCTTCTGCTCCACTGGTCAGTATCAATCTTTATTCCAATATCATGGTATGTTAATTAGCCTTTCATATTTTCCATCCCTTGATCTTTTTGTGTTTATGTTTGGGGTGATTTCCTCACATTTTTTTTAGATTGCCTCCTTATTTATGACTAATTTGCTATGCTAAGTCCACAAGGGATATATGTGTATATATATATATATATATACACATATATATATACATACCGTTATGTGTTGCTTAACAATGGGGATGTGTTATGAGAAATGTGTCGTTAAGTGATTTTGTTGTTGTGTGAACATCACAGAGTGTACTTACACAAACCTAGATGGTATACCCCACTACACACCTAGGCTCTATGTTACTAATCTTACGGGACCACCATTGTATTTGTGATCCATCGTTGACTGAAACCTTGTTATGCGGCGCATGGCTGTACTTACATTCTGGGAAGAACACTCCTGTGTTTCTCCTTCACTTTCACACTAATACCACACTCACAATACTTCTAACATGAGTTTCGTGGGTTTTCCACTAATCAAGCAATTCTCTGGGATACTACACCAGCTGGATGTCCTTCAATTCGATTCAGTTCTAACCAGAGTTAGCGCAGACCCCACAGGTTAAGGGCTCAGTTCCACAATACGCCCGCCCTGTACCTCAGACGCCAGTCACAAGTCCCAGGTTATCACCTGTGCTTCTAACCTCCTGGCTGTAAATTGGAGGTTCTCATGTCCCCTCCTTGGTTTTGATTATTTGCTAGAACAGCTCACAGAACTCAGGGAAACACTTAATATTTACTGGTTTATTATATAAAAGATACAGATGAAGAGCAAGATAAAGAGATACACAGGGCAATGTCTAGAAGGATCCCAAGCAGTGAGCTTCTGTCTCCATGGAGTTGGGGTGCACCACCCTACCAGCCTGTGGATGTGGTCACCAACCTGGAAACTCTCTAAACGCCATTCTTTGGGATTTTTATGGAGGCTTCATCACATAGACATAACTCATCACTGACTCAGTTTCCAGCCCCTTTCCCCTTCCTGGAGGATGGTGTAAGTTGCAAGCTTCTAATCACGGCTTGGTCTTTCTGGTGGCCAGGCTCCATCCAGGAGCCCACCAAGTATCGCCTCATTAGAATAAGACTCTCCTATCATCCTGGAAATTTCAGGGGGTTTAGGAGCTCTGTATTGGGTACTGGGTCAAGGACCAAATAGCACAACAAAAGATGCTCTTAGTGCCTTTATTACTTAGGAATTTCCAAGGATTGTAAGAGCTCTGTGCCAGGAACCAGGTGCAGAGACATAGATACATGCTTTTAAAACCCTCCCTTCCTTTTATTCAGACTGCCGTCTTCTTTCACTAGGACTTTGAAGCAGTACTGTTGATGCCTGCTCCTTTTTCCTTTGGGCATGTCTGAGCTTGCAGCTGTGTAGACCATTTCCATTGTGCTGACAGTGTCCCTCCCTGAACACCCCTACTCTCTGCTTCTCTGGCGCCATGGGAGCTTGCTCAGCCCAAGATTCAAAGAAGTTAATGCTCCCAAGGGCAACCCTCAACCACAGGGGGACAGGCCATAGTAGATAGTTGCTCCAGGTTCTCTGTCCTTGGGTGGGACAGTTCCGAGATGTGTTTCACAATTTCTTAAAGGGCCCAAGATGGACACTTTATTGCCTTTTCTGTATTTCCTGTTTTCTTTCCTCACTCACTTGTGCTTCCTGAGATCATCTCCCAAATAATCTACCAGCACCCTTGTCTCAGGGTTTGCTTTGGAAGCAACCCAGATTACAACAGTTGGCATTGGAAATACCCCAGAAAGCAGACCCTCAGGGTGAACTGCCTTGCCAGTTATTAGGAGAGTGTGGGGAGGCTCAGAGCAGTGTGCTTTAGGAGGATTTATTATGTGAGACCAGAGAGCCTGCCAGCTGACTGTGTGCCCTAGGAGGCCCAGAGGACAATCCTTTCGCTAAAGCTGTGAGATTGCAGTAGTGTGTGGGTACTGACTTAGTTGAGAGGCTCAGTGGTGACTGTCCTGTACAGGCCAGAGATGACAGTAGGAGATGCCCTAGTGTCAATGAGAATGATAGAATTTCAGAATAGCAGGACCACTCTTGAGACTTGGTTAGGACTTGTCACCATCAACCCATCGTCCCATTCCTGGACTGAAGCTGTTCACATCTCCTCACTGGTTGACTACTTATATCTTCTCCATAGAATTAAAGTAATTTTTCTAAAATACTTATTTTCATACCATTTTCCCACCTAAGGACTTACAATGTCTTCTTATTGCATATTAGAAAAAATATAAATGTCTCTTCCCTATATGTAAGGCCCTGTATCACTTGATGCTCCTCTGGTCATTGTCAGTTTCCTTACTAGTCCTGGGGTAAATCCTCTGATCCCCCTTTCCCCTATCTCAGCCTCCTCCCCCTTCCCAGAGAGACACACACACATGCACACAAAATACCAGTTTCCTCCTGTCTATTAGAGAAAGACAGGCTGTTCCTATTGGGATGCCCTATGCTACATCCATCCAAATTCTATCAAATTAAAGATGATTTCTTTAAAAGTCATCTTCTCTATAAAAAACTATCTGAGATTAGGATTCATCCCACAGTAGACTTCTAAAGCATCTTGGAACGTATAATCCTCTGCGTAGTCTTGGAATCTCACAGCTGGGTTCAGTCACACCTCACACTGAGTTTAGCACTGCCTCCCACAGCAGCCCCGAGAGATTCATTCTTTCCTCCCACCTGCTACTGGACCTGCACTCTTGATGGGCTGTGGATGCAAAGATGAAGCGACGAGGTGCCTGCCCTCAAGAAGCTCACACTGTCTCTAACTGGGGAGACAAACAGTTCAGTTGCAGAGCAGGGAAAGCAAAGGGACAAAAGACTGTCCAAGGCAGGGTGGCGACATGGGGGAGAAAGTGACTAAATCTGAGCAGTAGGGAAGCTGAGGTGATGCTTGTGCTGTGTCCTGAGGGGTGAGGAGGAATTCTCCAGCAGACGAGTCAGAGAAAGCATTCCCAGGAAGGGAGCAGCGTGGAGTGGTCTCTCTGTCTAGCACGTGTGCATCCAGTCGGCATCACGCCCCCCTACACTGATTTGTGTATCACCTGGAAATCCATTTCCTGTTTAACAAACATCTTGATATCCTCCAAACAGAAGATACTTTTTTAAGGAGAAGGGTCATGTTCTGTTGCTTTTGTATCCCTCACATTGCCTGGTAATATCAGGCGCAAAGGATGGGCTACTTTGTGTTTTGTTTTAATGTGAAGAGATACTATAGACCCATGTAAAGATGGGTTTTCCCAGCTTGTCCAGCATACTGGACTCCACCTATTTATTCCTCCCTGCCTCTATCTCCTGTATCTGTCCTTCCAGTTACTTCTGTGACCAACACTGTGTGCACACAAGATGGCTGGTCCATGTTATGGAAGTCTTTGGCCATGGAATGAAATAGAACAAATTGGGCTATATGAGAATGGAAGCTGTGGTCTTGACCTTCCAGGTTGATGCTTTAAACAAGTGAATTAACCAGCCACAGACTGGTGCTACATCCTTGCTTGTGGAATGATTTGAATAATCTCTTTATAATATTCTAGACATGGTAAGTCGTGATCATTCTGAGCTTGATAAGTCATCACAAAAGAGTGCTTTCCTTATCGGGGATGTTCTGTAAGACTCTTGGGTTCTTGAACAGGTCTTCTTCTGCTCTGTAGCTCCACTCACCATCTCCCCTCAAAATATTTGGCTCTAGTGTGACACAGTGAAACAGAGTAGAGTATCTGAGGATTGGTATCCTATGAGAGGAAAGAGATCTGAGGCAGTTTTCCCCTATGATGGATGCAGCAGCTAATTGACCCCAAATAGCTGTTCTTCCTTCTTCCATATTAATAGAGCCCCTTATTTCCAGCTGGACGTGTGATTACCCTGAATAAACATTCCGTTGCTCACTCTCCCTTCCAGCTCATTGTGGCAGTGTGGCTAAGTTCGGAGAGTGGATGTGGGAGGGAGTGACCTAAGCAACTGCTGGGTTGAGTCCTTTAAGAAGGGAGCGTGCTGCCCCCTTCCTCGTTTTTTTCACCTTCCCCCTGGCTGGAACGTGGCTGTGATGGTTTACTATCCTGGACCTTCGAGAGGAGGGCAACACCTTCAGGGTGGAAGAGGACCAAGATAGAAGAAACCTGGGCCCCTGACTGGAGCCACCACATGAGCCCAGACTGCTTGTGTCAAAGAGAAATATCGTCCTGGTTAAGCTATGAGTATGTTAGCTCTCTGTCTCCACAGCTAATTAACACATTGGGGGATAAAAAAGTTATGAGGTTCAAACAGTGTCAGCTGAGTGATATGAACAAGATGAGAAACATTTTTAAAGATATTTAATGACTTTTTTTCAAATCAGTACAAAAATTTAAATACAAAAATGATTTGCTATAGACAAGTCTCAAATCTATCATGGAAACTCAAAAAAGTTACCAGTCTGTTCACTGTTCATGATAGTCTGTAAAATATTTGAGAACAGTCACCCACTACAGACATTCTTTTCCCCTGTGGGATGTCATACTGCAGTAAAACTCTGTATTTAAATAACAATAATGCCAGTTTGGTCCATTTCACATGGAAAAGTTCTAGTTAGTTTTGAGTTAAATAGGGATGATGGCACTGTCCCTAGACTTCAGAAGACGTGGCGGTTTCATCTGCTCTTACCCTGACCTGTTCACACGATGTGCAGCCCTCGAAAGGGAGACACAGACATAGACACAATTGCTTAAACTCTTCTTTAAATTAAATGGAGTCATTAATTCATTTAGCTCTGAGATTAGCACCATTGTAGAATACACAGTATCTGGCATAGATTTTGCTCCTCCCCTACCTAAACGTTAGAAGCATATGCCTGATCACACATACACACATGCACACATGCACACACACATAGATTTAGGCAATTGAGCAAAACCAATAAATAAGTTGGAAGGTATTTTGAAAAGTGAAATTTGGTTTTAACTAAAGAGGTACTTTCTCTCTTACTTGATGGCAATAAAAAGCCCATGCATGTACAGATAAATACAGTTTTACAAATCAGCTGATCCGACTTGCTTCCAAGCCGGTTCCGTGCAGCTGTCCAGCAGCAGGAGTCCAGTGGATCCGTGTTGCCCCCATAGTCATCAGCCCAAAACCAGCATCCTCAAGACCAAGCCAAAGGATATTTGGCCACGTAAATGTCGCCTGCATTGGAAGTGAAGTTGGATGGGACATCTTTTTGATGGGAAAAGTCCATTATATAATTACCAGTGAGCAAGAAACCCTGTGGTAATGAACTCATTTCTCTATTTAAGAAATTGAGAAGAAATGGTGCTGTTATATCATATAAGGGAGAAGACAGATATTAGGTTGAAGAGAATTTTCTTGATGGTTAAAATGATTCAGATTTGACATAGACACATTTCCATGTAGGTTTATACCGTATTTATTTGTGTATTTTCCCATCTGTACCTATCCCCTCAATTCCTCACTCTTAATTTTGAGGAAAGTATACAAGGTTCCACCACCATAACCCCACGTTATTTCCTCCAGTGGCATATAGTGTCAGCCGCAGACTCACAGCCAACTTGAAATGCTTTGTCTGTGTTTTGAGACCAGATTTGAATGCCCAAAGCAGTTAATAGGTACCTACATGAAAACCTGGAAAATACTTATTCTTCCTTTTAAACTTGCGTTGACTCTTGACTTGTGCTGAGTAAGTGGTGACATAAAAATCATGGGCTATCACTGCCCTTTGACATTCCAGATAGCTCTTCCACAGTTTGCTTCTAAAGAAACAGTCCTTTTCCTACAATTTTAGTACCTACACCAGGAAGTAGTACGTCCATTTTTAAATTTATAACTTCAGAAATTATCTTTTCAAAAGAATTTATTTTCCTATGTAATTCTGAATCCCTTGATGGCCGCCCCCCGCCCCGCCCGCTAGTAAAGGATGGCTTGGATTTTGGAAATTGACTTTGGAACCCCAGACGACACACCAGTTTGCATATATACTACCCAGGGAAATTTCCTCGAAACTCAACAGCTACTAAAAAAAATGGCTATCCCCTTCATGGATAAAACCTCATTGTAGCCATTTGTGTGTGTCGGCACAGGAGGGGGTTTTTGTATGTGTGTGAACACAGTACTGCTGTTGATAATGAGCATCCCACAAAACTGGAACATTACTGGGCGAGAGGATTATTTTTTTTCTTGTTACTTCCAGGTGTTCATATCAGTTAGGCCATAGTGGAAATTACATGGAGGGAAGAAGAAAGAAAAAAAAATCAAAGAAATAAAAAACAAAAAGAACCCTTGAGGAATAAATGAGTTAATTACTGCTCATGTCTCCCAGTGGGCTTGTGAGCTCCTCGCGAGGCCCTCCCTCTCTATGCCCCACAGAAGTGTCTTACCCAGTGCTCGCACAGAGAAGGCACTGGGTAAATGCACAGTGCTGATTGGTTCACTCGTTCTTCTGGAGACACGAGACACATGATTCTTGGTAGGACTCCTGTTGCTAAAGACACAGCCTCTGGTGAGAGAAGCATTCTGATACTGAAGGCCTACCGTGGTCCCCCGGCCCCTCCCATGGGGCAGTAACACTGGAGAACTCCCCTCCCCCCTCCAAGACAAATATCTGCATAAATACAGAGGAAATTATGCAAGTAAATACGGTATGTAATTGTTATCATTGACATCTCTTTAAGCCATATTTATAAATATTTTAAGTAAACAATATGAGTGAGTGACTTTCATTAGCTATGATCTCTTACTGAAATATTTTGACTGATCTGAATAAGCAGGTTATCATGGAAGCATGTAACATACAACAGCTAATATGATTCCAGTGGGTACAACAGGTGTCAGTACTTGATACATAAATCTATCCCATCCTTTTCAATTACAAGCTGCTGTGCGGAGCATTAAACATGCATCTTAGTTTTTATTTGTACATGATGGTTCAAATTTTCACTTAAATATAACTTTCCAACTATATAAATGTTTTGAAGCAATTATGTTTTTCATTTGGATCTTTTGGTGCGTCATTGTCTTTTCTTCTATTAAATCTCTCTTTTTCTTTTCTTTTTTACATGGGATACAATAAATATCCTGAAAAGGAGGAGTGGACGTACTGCCCGGCGTACAGCCCTGCAGCCTGTTCTGAGGGCAGCTGGAGGAACACGCGGTCCCCTGGCCTGAGCAGCAGCACCGCGCTCCCCGACGCCTGGTCCAGAAAGCCCTTTTTGTACTCATCGTACGTGTACATCACCGGCTCGTTGTTCTTGAACAGGGCAACCCACACGTTGCCCCCCTTGCAGTGAACGTGGTATGCAAAGTAGTAGACGCCAGGGACCTCACAGGTGAAGATGCCCGTCTGCGGGTTGTAGTTCTGTCTGCCGTTATAGAGCAGTTTGTCAAACTTCACTGGGGCCCCCACGGGGGGGAAAGGTGCAGTCAGCTCAGCGGTAAACGCGGGCATCTCGTAGGCTGGCCCTCCGTTCTTGCCCTTCTTAGCCCCATAGGCGTGGGGGGGCTTCACGCCATCAATCCCCACCCCCATGTCGGGCAGATACTCTCCATGGGGTGGTGGTGTAGGGGGCATCCCAGCTGGGGCGCCTGGGGGCCCTGGAGGGCCAGGGGGCCCTGGAAGGCCAGGCTGGCCTTGAGGACCAAGGGCACCAGGCTTTCCTGGGGGGCCATGAAGTCCTGCGACCCCCGGCTTCCCTATTCCAGGGAACCCAGGGGGCCCTGGGAGGCCTGGTTCCCCTTTGGGGCCTGGAATTCCAGGTGGTCCAATGGGGCCACTAGGGCCTGCAATCCCTGGGATGCCCGGGGGCCCCTGTAGACCCTGATCCCCTGGGATTCCTGGTTCTCCCTTTGGTCCAAGCAGCCCTGGAGCACCAGGGAGCCCTGGCAAACCTTTGTGCCCAGCTTCCCCCTTGGGCCCTATGGGACCTGGCAAACCCCTTATGCCAGGGGGCCCCACTTCACCCAGGAAGCCTGGCTTTCCTGGGAAGCCCTGAAGCCCTGGTTCACCCTTGGGACCTGGTGGTCCCTGTGGCCCCACAACCCCACCTTCTCCTTTGGGCCCAGGAAAACCAATAGCACCTGGAGGGCCCATAGGACCAGGGATTCCAGGCAGGCCTGGCTCTCCTGGGGGACCCCCCACTCCAGGGGCACCTACTGGTCCTTTCTCCCCTCTTGGGCCCAGAGCCCCAGGAACACCACCTACACCCCTGTCACCTTTGGGTCCTGGGAAGCCTGGTTTCCCAATCCCTGGAAGGCCTGGGGGTCCTGGCAGCCCTGGCAGTCCTTGCTCCCCTTTGCCACCTGGAAATCCTGGCTGGCCAGGGATCCCATCCTGGCCTGGTTTTCCAATTCCAGGTATCCCAGGAGGTCCTTGAATCCCTGGGACCCCAATAGGACCTTGTGGCCCAGGTTCGCCTGGAGGACCTGGCTTTCCCAGGGGCCCCTGGGGCCCAGGGAAGCCAGTCACTCCTGGTTTGCCCACTCCTGGAAGTCCGACAGGGCCAGGAGGACCGTGCATCCCTGGAGGGCCCTTCAGGCCTGGCAAACCTGGCATCCCAAAGCCCTTCTCTCCTTTTGGACCCTGAAGGCCTGGAGGTCCTGGTGGGCCTTTGGGTCCTCGCTCACCCTTTGCACCTGGTGGCCCTGGTAACCCTGGCCCACCTGGCTTCCCAATGCCAGGAAGTCCGTGAGGCCCTGGAGGTCCTTGTGGTCCTGGGATCCCCATAGGCCCGATCTCTCCTTTGGGTCCAATTTCGCCTTTTGCCCCGGGCATTCCCATGGCTCCTGGCTTTCCTGGCATTCCAGGCATACCTGGTTTTCCAACTCCTGGGTATCCCTGTGGCCCTGGTTTTCCTTTGATTCCAGGTATCCCATGACCTGGTAACCCAGGGGGCCCAGGCGGTCCTCTTGGGCCAGGCTCTCCACGGGGACCTTGCTCCCCTCGTAAACTGGCTACTGGGATTTCTACTGAGAAAGAGGAGAGAGAAAAAGAGGGAGGGGGAGAGAGAGAGGGAGAGATTAATAGTGATTATCCTTCCCTTCAGGGACGTTAGGACAGTGGTCATTTAGTTCTGGCGCATTGGCCTGTCGCGTGTTGAGGGAGACTAGGAGTTCCGTGCTTGTCCTCCAGGACTGTTAGTTACCAGCACTCAGAGGACAGTCAAGCTGGTCATTTCTGTGAGACATTTGAGACGATGTTTGAGAGTGGGTATCTGCAGCTGCTTTTATCAGTGTTGGTTAAGTAAAAAGGCTAAAAAGTAATGAAGAAACATTTTTGCAAGTACAAAAGTTGGAGATATTATGGTGTGTTCACTATAGAGAATTTAGAAAATTTAAAGAAGAATAAAGAAAAATCAAAGTAGCCTATAAGCCTCCTCCTGAGAGGTAATCACTTGCCATTTATGTGTATTTCCGTCTCGTGTCCTAGGTATATATATATGTGTGTGTGTATTTTAAACAGTGTTGGAATCATTCTCCATTTTTATTTTTTCTATTTTTTTCTCCTATTTAATGTTGTGTTGTATTTTTCCATGTCCTTGATTTTTTAATATAATGATTTAGGGCAAAATAATACTTCCTCCTGTGCTAAAATACAGTATGATGTGGATGATGAAAGTCATTATCCTGTGTACTCAGGGAAGAATAGAAGCATTTTCTTTTGTATCTGGTTAATAACAGCTTCCACGTCTATCCTCTAGAGTCAAATAGATTTGCTGAATTTCTTTAATGCACTATAGGATTTACTGAGCCTCAAATAGCATTTCTTTAATACATTATTTCTCATTTGCAAATTTGGTTTTTAAACAGGAGAAGTGAATAAGGTATTTTAGGAGACAAGCAGTGTGGATAAGAAATTGAGCTGGGATCAGGAGCAGAAAGCTCAGCTTCTCTCCCTGGTCTTGACATGAGATCGTGATTGGGCACGTAGCCCTCAGCTCTCTGCCTGCCTAGGTGTACTGCCAGAACAGTACACCCACACTGCAAGATCAGGTAGTAGGTGTGAAAGGCATATGCTTTCTCGAATTGTTATCGAAATACAAAGCACACGTTATTATAATGATTAGGCTGTGCCTTGCAGAGAAACACAACTCTGGATCTCCCATGCTACTGGGGGTGATGGATGGCATGAAGAAATGAAATTTGTAGTCCCAAAGTCTTATTTTAACCTATAGTCACAACTGAATCCTGACTGTTGTATCTTTTCACTGAACTACTGTCAGGGAACAAAATAGAACCACAGAACTCATATTCTTTCCAGATCCCACAGTTGCACTCTGGTACCCATCGGAATGAGTACAGGAAGTGCCACACACCAGTCAGGCCATCCAAGAAAGCAGGGGAAACACACGGCCGAGGTAATCCCCTGCGTGGAACAGCAGTGCCCCAAGAGAAGGAAATCGGGACTGCTGCTCCTGTGCTGGGAGACGCTGCTCTAGGACTCCTGTGGCGCGTTACTTCTAAGCAGTGAATCGTGCAGCTGCTGTATCGAGGGAGCGTCTGGGGCGGGGTCACTCCTACTCATCAGGAAGCCTTGGGTCCAGCACAGCCCCTGGAACACACTCTGTTCTTACTCGGGGTTTGCTGATTGACCAGCTGCAGCAGCTCGACGCTCCGCTCACATGGTGTTTTAGTGTTTACTTAGCTCTTTTACTTCCCTGACGTCACTGATGCTCTCAACAGTCTCACTTCACTAGGAAAAATGTAGGTTCAGAGAGGTTCAGTGACTGGGTTGCTTTCATTTCTGGCCTCCAGGCATCTAGGCCTCTTAGAGCCATATCCCCAGTTCCCAGAAGTGGGGGCCTCCTGTTAACCGCTGGGAGCAGGAGTGGCCTCCACTTCCTCAAGGGGCCCTGGGACTCGGAAGCAGTTCGTTTCTTACAAATGCTGGGTTCCCTAGAGCGCCAGGTAAACCAGCTGAGCTGACAGGAAGTGTCTCAGAGTGGTAGGCACTTTGCGAGTGTTGAATAACTAGGGAATATGCCTAGAAATCGTGGGAGAGCCTGTCTGGTCCATCGCTAGCGCAGTGTGTACTCTTCAGTCTGCTCTGCGTGTCCTCAGCCTGTGTAGTGGCTTCGTTAGAGCAGTCTTAGAAACACCTGCATGTGTCTAACCTGGCTCACAAAACCTTCTCCGATTTTTGTTAGTGCTGCAGGTCCTTCCTTACCACATCACTCTCCTGTTTCATAAGACTGACTGGTCACTTATTTGCACTGCTTTATCCCCCAGCCCCCGGCCCAGAGCCTGACACGAAAACAGATGCTCATTAAATAGTTGCCAGATGTTACAATAAATAAATAATGAATAAGGGAATAAACTATTTGTTATTAAATATGCTTTGTCATTTGATGCTGTTAAATAATAAAGCATAATGTAAAACGGTAATTTTGTCTTTCTTTAAGACTTGAACTTTTCAGGGTAGAGTTTAGAACACAGTAGGCATTAGTGAGCATCTGTAACACATTCTAAAATAGAGGTTTCTACAATTGAACAAATTGTAGATCCCACAGTTTCAGACCTGGGAAGGCTGCCGTTCAGAACCGCCCAGGAGGAAGATGTTACCTTTGCCCTTCTTGGCTGCTGCATCCTTGCCCATTCTGGGCGCCGGCTGAATTTCCTTCATATATTGGGGTAGATGTGGGTACTCTTTGCCCACATTAAGGCCGTCTTTGCCCAAAGGCATGTGAGGTACTTGCTGGCCTAGGGGCTGGTATTGTGGAATCTGCGGTGGGATCTGAGGAGGAATTTGAGGTGGCAGTGGCTTGATCCCATAGTAGGCACCAGCCTGAATGAGCCTGATGAAGCCCAGGGAGATGGTAAGCAGCACTCCCAGCAGTGGCAGAGGGGCAGGTGGCACAGCCATCACCTGTGGAAGGAAGGAATGCACCAACATGGTGAAAACCTGCAGGCCAGGTGACAGAAGTGTATTCACAGAAAGAAGGGGGAGCAAAAAAAAAAAAAGGAAACAGTCTTTATCATCAGAACTTCACGAGAGGAAGACCAATGAAAAGGTGTTACCTTCAATAGAAAACAAAAACCAGAAAAGGAGTAGGGTCTGTGGGACAAAGGCACTTGGTGGGTTTACAAGCTATGGGAGAGACTGCTAGCTGTCCCCTATTGTCTGTTCTGCCTTCTTCATGGTATTGGGACCCCCTGATTTTCAGCTGGAACAGAACAGCCTAGAATGAAGACATTTCAGCCAGGTGTAGCCGTGTAACAACATTCTGGCCAAGTGGATGTAGTTATAATGGGTGCAACTTCCAAGAAAGATCCTCCAGGGGAGTGGGCATGTTCTTCCATTTGCTCCTTCCTGCTGGCTGGGATTGGACGGACTTCCTGGAAATGGACCAGACACCTTGGACGTGAAGCAAAAGCTGTGCACTGAGGACAGCAGAGCAACAAGCTAGAAGAAACCTCAGTCCTGGTTGAACTTGGAGGCATGCTACTAATGCTTAAATATGGGATTTGTTCACGCAAGAGAGAAATAAAGGTTTATCTTCTTCAAGCCGCTGTTATTTTGGGTGCCACATATCTGCACCAGACTTAATCCTAACAGGAGGAATAGATTCTCCAAAAGGAGGCAAACTTGGTAGCACGTCAGGCTTGGTTACTAAGTGCCAGGATTCTATTCTAAAAGGAAATAGTTAATAATGTTTGACCTTTATGCCAAGGGCAGAGATCTTTCATCTGCCGGATACCCTTTGGCTGTTTGGTGTGGTCACAAGCAAGTGTAAAGGTTAAAGAGCAAACAGCAACAAGAACTGAAGTTATCTGAATTGGAAGGAAGGTACCTCATGTGACAGTGCCCAAATGCCATTTAAAAAATCACTGTCATAATCATGCACATACAGGGACGCCATCTCTTTCTTGTATTTGAATACTATGGAGTCATTCGTTTAGAATTTGGCTAGTTGGACCTGGAGTCCATTTATCTTTGTACTATTATGAAAGAAAGGAGTTTACAAAGCAAATCAGTTGTATAAATAAGATAGAGATGTTTAACTAATCACAAGAATAAACTGTTTCTAAGCCCTTTGATAATACCCTTTGCAAATCAGCCCTTAAGAGAATAAATATAAATGGGGCTTATCTGTTTATAAAAACCAGCTTGAGAAGACAGCTGTTTGAAAACGCCCAGGGCTGAAGACTGACAGCCCAGGGAAGTGCAGTGTTCGCAAGTGTCCGCTAGAGGGCAGGTGTGGAACACTAAAGTCAGCTCCTTACTCGGTGCTGCTGACAACGCCTGAGAGGGCGAGATGGAGATGGGAGATGATGGAGATGGGCGAGGGGCGGGGGGATGAAGGCACATTTCTCACAATTTTTACGTAGGTGTCTTCTGGAAAACTTTTAATAAACTTCTATCTATAAATTAATTTCCATTCTCCTGAGAGTTTGTTTTTGCTTCTGCCGTACTAAATTCTGGATCCTAGTTTTCCAGGTATTAGGAAATATGCATTGACTTATCCTATTCAAGAGTAATACCAAGAGTGTGAACAGGCTACAGAAGAATTGGCTAATAAAAAGCACCTAAGAAAATAATAAGAATCCCTACCACAAAATTCACTGCTTTACAATTTTTCTAAATATACTAACTCATCATTTTTTCCCCTGCAGGGGAAAAAAATGAAGAAACATCTGTCAGCAAAATGATTTATAAAATTTTCTCCATTTTGTAAATCAGAATAGTCTCAAGAACTATTTATTTCAAGCATTCTCTAAATAATATAGGTACTGGTAGAATGGGAGAAGAAAGCTGTTATTTTCTGTCCTAAGAATGATTGTTACAAACGATTTGGAAAGAGCCACAGAATTAATACTGATTTATACTCAATAATAGTCAAATATATGTTGGGTGGCAAAAGACCATCTGCTATGAGCAGTCAGTGGTAATTTATTGAGTGCTGGCCAGACACAGTGCCAGACCCACCCAGGGATTATTACAAAGACGAACATAATGTGGTGAGTGGGCTCTGCCCTCGCAGGGCTTATGCTCTGTTAGTAGGAGTGACAGATGGGTAAACTATTAGTAGCTAAGGATATCCAGAAAAAAGCAAATTTCCCTCCCACTTCTGTTCTTTAGTATCTGAAATTCTTTCCCATTGAGCAACAACTTTTCCCATTTTCCCCCATATTTTTCCAGAGATAGTCTATGAATATGCATGTATAATCTGTACCCCTTTAAGACAAATTACAGCATACTACACATACTTCTCTTTCTTAACTTTTTTCACTCAGAGACCAGAACTTCAGACCTTCTCATCTTAGTTTTATGTATCTGAACAGATCCCTTCAACTTCATTTGTTAAAAATAAGACTCGCTTGTTCTCTACGGTCCCATCTGCCTCTAACATTCAAGATCTAAGGCAGTCACTAGAGAGCCGCCAGTGTTAATTCGTACCAGAAATCCATGGTAATACCTGGTAATGTATACACTGGGACTTACTTCTACCTTTGGGGGTGAATGAGTTTAATTCTGAAACCCTCGACTTGTGGTGATGTCTTTAATAAGGTAGTATGCTTGGCCCTTCAGCTGTCCATCAATTCAGTGGATGTCTTGGTTTATACTTAATAATCTTTAAACCAGGACAGTCTAATGAAACACTGGAAAACTGGAGTGAGGCGAAGTGCCTGGAAGAAGACCAGTAGAATAGCAAAGGCCCGTGGGCTCCTGCTTCACTGTAATTATTTCCTCTCATAGGCTTGGGCTTTCTCTCCCGAAAACCACCTCCTTGGGTCTGCCATCTGCCATTTCTCTGACTATTTATTTAAGGAAACTTTGTTCAGTTTTAACTTGAATATTTATGTAGGGGCCCTGGTTAGAATCTACCACTTGACTTATCCTTACTAACTTCCCTCTTGTCCCTGAGGGTATTTTTGGTGGTCAAAGTGGTGTGGTGGTTCTCCCCAAATCACTCAGAAGCACACTGGGTTTGTGTAACACTACACAAACATCTGCAGGAAGAAGGAGCCTCAGAATTCCTGCTGAGAGGAAACGGTGGGAGGAGGTTTTCTTCTCTCTTTTTCCTTTTCTCCGAGGATGCAGAACACAGTAAACGTTGTGAGTTCCATTTGACGTTTCCTTGGATTTCTATTTCATAACCTGTGTGTGTGTGTGTGTGTGTGTGTGTGTGCGCATTTGTATACACATGAACATAAACATCGTAATGTGTGTGGACGCTGGATCTTTGCCAGCCAGGCCAGCTTAGCGGTAAGTGTCATGTCGTACAGGAAAAGCATGGTAGAAGAGGCCAGAAGACCTGAGGTTGAGTCGTAGCTCTGTGATTCCCCATCTCTATGACCTTGGACAAGTCCCTTATCTTCAGTAAGCCTCAGTTGCCTTACCTATAAAACCGAAATTATAATCTCTGCCTCTCCCACAGAGCTGTTTAAGGGCACAAGTGATAACAGGAATTCCTTGTAAGCTGAAAAACACTATTCAAATTTAAGTTATTAATGGAGTGTGACCAAAAAGACAAATCGAAACCAACTGAAATGTCAGACATTTAAAGAAGGATACCAGCCAAAGTAAGTGTGAGGTTAACGGCAATAATGACAAACCTAACATGAATATAATAATATAATAATAATGGCCATTGAAATATACTTGTTAAAAATGGCAAAAAAGAATGGCTGAACCGAGGCATTCATTCGTTGTGTGTCAGAGTCACCAGCCCTCATCATTTTGAACAGCCCTAAATGGTCCCCTATATTTGGGCAGGACTGCAGAGATTTGGTTTCCCCGTGTGACCTGGAATGTATATAACAGAATAATGTGATAGACATCATTTTAGACAATCCTCAGCATTTTATTTGCACATTCATCCTCATGAAATTTTTGGTTTGCTGTCCAAAAGAATGTTTAAGTATTTAAATCTTGGGTCCTTGCCCTCAGTCCAACTTTCCCTTTCACATGGGGCTAACACAGCACCTGTGTGTGTGTGTGTGCGTGTGTGTCCATGTTGTGTGGTTGGACGACCAATGTCATCTGCTCCTGGGCAGGCCTCCTCTGCACCCCTGCTTGACCCTTGCACACGGTTTGTAATGTCTCAAGGCCTCAGCTTGACCACACCTGGATCAAGGGAAAGTCAAGCAGAATCCTACTCCAGTCTTCACCAGAATTGTCTTCTTGGCTTTCCTGTGCTTCTCAAAGAAAATTCTCTCCTGATTACACTTCTCAGGGCGATTCATTCACTGGATGGAGATGTGTAGGGATCACCTGCTGATTGTTGCAAACCGTTCTGGTTCGCAACAGAACAGTTGTGAAGAGATAGAGTGGTGAGTTACAGAGATAAGGTCCTGGATCTCATGGAACTCAGATTCCAGTGTGGGGAGACAGGCAGTCAGCAAGTAACAAACTGTAATTCCAGATTCAAGTGCTGTGAAGAAAACAAAGCAGGTAAAGGGCTGGAGAACGGTGTGGAAGGCGTCTCTTTGGAGGTAAACTTTGACAGAGAAATGAAGGCTGAAGGGTTTATTATCTCTCTTAAGACCAGACACTGAAAAAAAGAAAGAATCACATTTATTACAGTGATAGTTGTGGGTACCCTTTCACTAATGTGAACCTGTTTCAAAGATTTATTCCTCACCTATGTGTGTCTTCATTTTGACCTCTTTATTTATTGTGTTTTTTCCTGGGGGATTCTTATTTACTTTTTTACTGCTCCCCAGATTTCAACCCTACTATATGAGTTTGCTAGGACTGCCATAACAAAGCATCCCAGACCAGGTGGCTTACATAACAGACGTTTATTTGCTCTCAGTTCTGGAGGCTGAAGTCTGCGATCCCGGTGTTGGCAGGGTGGATTTCTCCTGAGGCCTCTCTCCTTGGACTGTAGATGGCTATCTCCTCCCTGTGTCCTCACATGG